ATTATAAGGAAATTTTTACTAGTATCTCAAAAAATATTATAAATTTAGCTAGAAATATTCATTTTTAAAATGATTTATTTAAATGCTCTAACTTTACTTTTGTTATTTTCTAAATGTTTTGGAACTGACAATGATGATGATGATTTTAATCGTCATATTAGAGATTTTCACGATCAACCAATTTATAGCCCAAATAATAGTCCAGAATGGTTTAATCCTCCGGTTTGTTATTCAAAATTATAGTTCACAACAAGTTAGTATTAACTGACTTAATTCTTATTTTCGGTTAACCCGCGAATTCTAAATTTTAGTTTTCTAATGATTATCGGTTTATGGGTTTTAAATTAAATGAAACGTTTAACTTTATCGTAACTTTATTTAAAATTTTATAAATATTAAAAAAAATCAATTATAGGAAATCTGTTATCATAACTATGGATATGGTAAATATTTAAGCAATTAATGAATAATAAAATAAAACTTAACTAACATGTTTAGATAATCTTAATCTGTGGGAACATAACCAACAAAACCCCCATCAACTTCCCCCTCAACAAATCCCGCAACAATTGCATAACGAAAATTACCAAACTCAAACGCTTCATCAACAACCAATACATCATCAGCCCCCACCCCATCCTTATGCACAATTTCCAACAATTCCAAGTCAAGGCGAATCTTCTTCAATCCCTAATTTACAAAACAATCCAACTGAAATAGAAAACGAGAATCAAAATTACCTTTTGGTAACAAAAGAAATGATTGATCAAAGAGAGAAAGGTCAGTTTTTTCTATGGTTGAGCGGTATCGGGATTCCGAACAGTATAACTTTTTTGAATCCCGATACCTTTTTCTGATAACGAGGCCGGTATCAGTGGATAAAATCGGTGGATGGATAAAAAAAGATAAAACGGCGCGCGGCCATAATTTGCTTCAAGATTCCCGAATCTTGCCAAATTTAGTAGTAAACGATTCCATTCGTCGAGCTAAAGAGGTTGATAACAAAATTGATAAGAGCCAGAAATTTTGCAGCAAGTTATGGCTATGTGCCGTTATGGCCGAACGCCGTTTGGGCTGTACCTTATAAAAATCACCTCTTTATAGAAAAAAAATATTATCCTATAAAATACAAAAAACCGGAATTATTAAATATGAATCAATTAATTAACAACATTCAATTGGCTTCTGGAGTTCAATTATATAAAAGTGAATTAGATCAGGGATTTTCATTAAATTCTGAAGGGATTACCGGTAGTTTTTAATTCTGTAATTTACAAATTTAAAATACAAACAAAATATATGTATATTGAAAATAAAGTAATTTATGTGTTTTTTATATATTATAGCCAAGGTGGTCCTTTACAAATCACCAAAAAGGGGCATGGCCTTTCAGAAAGTGGGCGAACTCGGTCAAAAATGTGGGGGCGTTATTTTAAACACTTAAAAAATAATTAAAATTTCAAATAAAATGTCATCCGCATATTTTTCACTAGTTTTAACTAAATTGAGCAATCCAGGCTGAAAATAAGGAGATCAAGTGCGAGAGATCAACAAGAGCACTGATTCAACTTTCTCTTTTAATCGCGGTTATAACAGTGATTATTGTTGCCAGCCCGGTTGGAAGATCAAAGTTTGAATGGTCTTTGAATGGCCAGATACGATAAAAATGGCAGGCGACATTTTTAGATTATTTGAGCCAGTTTTCTTCCTTTTTCAGCGCCGCAGGCGAAAATTTTGAGAAATTGGGAAGAACAAGCAACCCGGGCCAGGCCCGGGTTCGAACTCTAATAATAAAGCAATACATAATGATCTACAATTTTAATTTTCCCAGAAATCTTATTCAATTAAAAAAATAAATACATACATACCGTATTTTTTGTATTAGAGCCCCACGCTGTAATAAAGCCCCACTTTGAAGCATAGTTGAAAAATAGAGCCCCATGGGGCTCTAATACAAAAAATACGGTATAATATATTTAAATACAAAAAACAGGTGATCACATATATTTTGTTAAAACTCGTATGTACAAGTGTTTCCAATACACGAATAATGGATTAAAAAACGATTCTTTTAATTTGAGATGTAGTGAAAGAGATAAAAAAAATTGCAAGGGAAGACTTACCTATAAGAAGTTTAAAAATCCGCATGATTTAACAAATAATTTTAACGAAACTCAGCCACATACATGTAAAACAAATGGTTTGTTAAACTTTTTGTTTATTAATTTTTAAAATAAATTCAATTCTGTGAACAAGATAACAATAGATTTGAATTTTGGACTGAACTCCCAGTCCCAGTTCCGGTTTTAATTCGACTTTTAGAATTATTATATCTACCTTTAGTGGGGTAAAGGAAATTTAAATTTTTGGCGTATCACACAATGAATTTTGGAATATTTTCTTTTAAAAATTTGTCTTCATTACGTATCTAAATTTTACAAATAATTTAGGTTCAGTTGAACGCGAGATGACCATTTGTGTTACTCCTGGTGTAGCACATATAAAAGAATTATCTTACTGTATTTATGTTGAATACACTTCCGGACATTTAAGACGAAAAACGGATTTTGTTGGAACACAAGAAATTGGGGCTTTAAATGATTGCAAATTACAGAAATTTAAAACTGAGGGGAATATAGAAAATATTCAATTTATTGTTGTTTGGAGTGAAAATATATTTTTTGGGAAAGACGATGTTTTGTACGCGGTTGGAAAGAAAACTAGAAAATATTTTTAATTTTAATTTTTAGAGTCGTTTCAACGTCAAAAACGAAGATTTTGTTCCTCATGGTACAATTACATTGGATATAAACACCGTCGGAAAAACTAAACTCAAATATGATAAAAAGAAGGGATTAATCCCAGATATTTGAGATTTTTTTGTTTTTATTTCAAATTTTTGGTTTACACAGGGTTTTTGGGGCTACTTTGATTTCCAGGGTTCAAACATGGGTATTCAAAGGTGAATTTTGGTTTATGAGTCCACTCGGAATTTATCCTTTCAATAAAAAAAGATCTGGATTTTTTTATATTGCAAAGCTGGGGTATGGTTCTAAAACATTTCTTCATGCTTTGGGACCTAGCCCCCAAAGTCTTGGACCTTTCCTTACCCTCTCCCTTTAAATTTCTGATGGTTATAGCCAATTTTGCAACACCAAGAAAAATTCAATTATTTTTTGATACAACTTAAAGTTCGATTGGACTCATAAACTAGACTAAAGCCAAATTTTGATCAACAATCCTTAACAACAAAAAAGTGATGGGAAAAGTTATTATTCATGTTGAAAAAGGCTTAACGAATTCCTCAATTTTTTACTTTTCAAGGGTTTTATTTAAACTAGAGTTCGAACCCGGACCCGACATCATGCTTTCCGAGTCAGTAGCCGGTAAAACATGCATTTTATTAAATCCGGCTTTTCGTGGTTTCCGGGAACCATATTCCTCAATTTTAATTCCCTTAGATTAGTATTTATATTTTAAATTTTTTTCTTTTATTTTAAACATGTTTTATTTAAAATTTTGGATTAATTTTAGTATAAATTTAGTTTAGTTGAATTAAAATCTCTTATTGATTTGAGTTAATAAATTTCCAATCTTTCATTTTTTGCGGTTGTCCTGTAGAATCATGCCCCTCGAAAAAAAACTTTTTAATTCCGTAAAATATTTTGTATTTTACAGGATTTTATAAAATTTTGGACTTAAACCATTTGCATTACACTAATCAAGAGGGATATAAGTGGACGTGATATATCAAGGGATAAGTGAGATAACGAGGATTAATTGAACTCCCTAATCCTGGATATCTCTCCAAATCACTGATATACTTTATAACCACCTTTAATCCCTCTAATCCACTTATTTCCCCATATATCACCTTATATCCCCAGATTGCGGATTTTAAAACTTAAATTGCGGCTGCGGACAGCCCTGGTAACAACGAGCAAATATCATGGCTCGAGAACGGGCATGGCTCGAGCAACACTGAAATTCTGAATAAAAACAAGATACCGAATTTGTTTAAAAATATTTATTTTTATGTCGGAAAGGAGTTATTTTGTAATTATTTAAATGGCTAAACAAAAAACAGAAAATTATACTTAAAAAATAAAATTTATCCATTTAGTAAATCAAAAAGTAAACTAAATTTACTTCTAAAAATATAAAAATATGTAATTTACTTTTTAACTAAATTCTTTGAATTTTTCCAATCGTTGAAATATTATGCCTTCTTTTTCTAGTCAAGTTTTTAAGCCAACGACGTACTCCCTACCAGGGGTGGGCGCAAGAGAAATCTCAAAAAACGCAAGACGCAAAATGCACCGCAAGGCCAAAATTTAACGCAAATAACGCAAAAGGCAAGATAACAAAATTGGAGAAAAAAAATTTTAAATTAAGTAGTAGCCATTTCTCAGTTAAAAATTAAAGTATCACTATAAGTCAGCGAGTCCTACTCGATTTTGAGATACATATAAGTTGGATGGTAAACATTTGGAGAGATATCGGAGATACAAGGGATTATGAAGGATATCAGAGGATTTAGCAGTATCAAAGGGGTTTAACGAAGAAGCGTGGGACAAAAGAAGGCCGGGTTTCGGGCGGCAACCCTGGTATGTATAGTTTATAACTCTATAATTGAAAATTTGAAATACAACTATATTTACATATTATATACTAATTTATAGGTGATCATGTATTTTTTGTTAAAACTCGTATTTACAAATGTTATGAATACTCAAGTAATCGAGTAGGAAATGATAATTTTATTTTGAAATGTCTAAAACATAGACAAGGAGAATGTAAAGGTGGAATTTCTTATATGACATTTGGATATATGATTAAGAAAAAATTAACAAATAATTTTAAAGAAAATCAGATACATACATGTAAAACAAATGGTTTGTTTGAACTTTTTGTGTATTAATTTCCAAAATACCTAAATTCAATTCTGTGAAATAAGATTACAATAACTTCCCTATATATTTAGCTAAACTGTTAGAGACTTCCAGGACTAATGCTTTTGATTCTTAACGTTAAACTATGTCGGTCTTGGTTTGAAAAAGTAATTGAATTTTGGATGTCACAAAAGAGTCGGGTCTTAAATTTTATAAAATTTTTCGGATGTCTATTAATTCCTTAAATTTACATATAATTTAAGGTTCGGCTGAATACAAGATGACCATTTGTGTTACTCCTGGAGTAACAAATATAAAAGAATTATCTTACTGTATTTATATTGAATACAACACTGTAGGAAATTCGGAAAGAATAAAAAATTTTGTTGGAACACAAGAAATTGGGGCTTTAAATGATTGCAAAATACAGAAATTTAAAACTGAGGGGAATATAGAAAATATTCAATTTATTGTTGTTTGGAGTGAAAATATATTTTTTGGGAAAGACGATGTTATATTTGAGGTTGGAAAGAAAAATTGAAAATATTTTTAATTTTAATTTTTAGAGTCGTTTCAACGGCGAAAATATAAAATCTTTGCCTGATGGTACAATTATGTTGGATATAAACACCGTCGGAAAAACTAAACTCAAATATGATAAAAAGAAGGGATTAATCCCAGATATTTGAGATTTTTTTGTTTTTATTTCACATTTTTTGTTTACACTGGGTTTTTAGACATCTTCGATTCCCGGGTCTCAAACATGGGTATTCCTAGGAAAATTTTGATTTATGAGTCCACTCTAAATTTATCAGTCTAATAAAAAAAGATCTGGATTTTTCTTGGGAGCTTTGGGATCTACGCCCCCAAAGTCTTGGACCGTTCCTTACTCTATCCCTTTAAATTTCTGATGGTTGTAGCCTATTTTACAACACCAAGAAAAATCCAATTATTTTTTGATACAACTCAAAGTTCGATTGGACTCATAAACTAGACTTAAGCCAAATTTTGATCAACAATCCTTAACTACAATCAAGTGATGGGAAAAGTTATTATCTATGTTGAAAAAGGCTTAACGAATTCCTCAATTTTTTACTTTTCAAGGGTTTTATTTAAACTAGAGTTCGAACCCGGACCCGACATCGTGTTTTCCGAGTCGAGTAGCCGGTAAAAGAGTTATTTTGATTAAATCCTGCTTTTCGTGGTTTCCGAGGTTTCTCGAAAATTTTATATAATCTTTAGCTTTTTGGTCAATTCTGGCTTCATAAACACCCAAAAATTGGATGGCTAATCTGAGGAAAAAATTATCTTTTAAATACAAACGGAAGTGCGGGGAATGTTCTTTATTTTACAAATTAGTTGCAAAAAATACATCCAAATTGACCAGAACCATATTCCTCAATTTTAATTAGGAATATTTGTTAGATTATTATTTATATTATAAATTTTTTTTCTTTTATTTTAAACATGTTTTATTTAATATTTTGGATTATTTTTAGTATAAATTTAGTTTAGTTGAATTAAAATCTCTTATTGATTTGAGTTCATAAATCTCAAATCTCTCATTTTTTGCGGTTGTCCTGTAGAATCATGCCCCTCGAAAAAAAATTTTTTAATCCCGTAAAATATTTTGTTGTATCAGTATTAACTAAATAATTTTTAAAATATGTTTTATGAATCAAATTTTGCTATCTTAAAAAGTGAGAACCAAAAAATTAAAAAATATTTATTACCGTATTTCCTCAAATAGTACGGCCGGCCGTACTATTTTTCAACCCTCTTCTAAAGGGCCGTACTATTTGAGGGGGCCGTACTAATGAGGGGGCCGTACTATATTTCAACCCTCCTTCGGAATTTTCTGAATAATTTTTTTGGTTATGCCACCTTGAACTAAGTCTGTGTGTATTGAAATTTTGGCCGTATCTGAAAATAATGCTGCAATCATATTTTTTCCTTATTCTTAAAAATGGTTGTCCGAGTTCGTCCGTGTTTTGTCAAAACTGTCCGAGTTTGTCCGTGTTTTGTCTGTCTGTCTTTGTCCGTCCGTATTTTGTCTGTCTGTGTCCGTCCGAGTCCGTCAGTGTTTTGTCTGCTCGTTTCGTCCGTATGTTCTGTCCGTCTTCGTCCGTGTTTTGTCTGTCCATGTTGTCTGTCCACGTGTTTTGTCTGTCCAATTACATTTGAACATGCCACAGGGAAATTCATTGGAAGTGAACGAGTGAAAAAGTCTACCTTTCTGTACAAAATAAGGAAAAATATGGAAAGGAAAAAATGAAGGAAAAAATATGATTGCAGCATTATTTTCAGATACGGCCGAAATTTTTTTGTTTTTTATTACACACACTAGCGTGTGTCTAGAAACTTAGACTTAATCATATGCCTAGATCCAAACTGAAATTACCAAAGACCTTAAAATTTAAGGCTGCATTTAAAATGTCCATATCGAGTTTTGTTGTGTGTTTTGTCGAGCGTCAAGTGTTAGGTTTGTGCAACCGTGAATAATTAATTTAAAAGTTGAGAGATTAAGAAGAATTAGAGTGATTAAAGGGGTGATAAGAAGTCGGGAGACTGAACGAGATATCGATAAATTATCTGACTATTCGTTATTCACCTTGTTCCCAACTAATCCTTTTAAATTCATCCATACTCAAATCACGCCAATTCCATCGATATCCTTCCTAATCCAATAAAATCCCCATTAATCCACCGATATCCTCTTAATCCCTCCAATTTCTATGCCAATAGATATTAAGATTTAATAAATTAGTTAAATATTGCGATGAATAATTACTATGATTAAAAATTCAAATTTTGCCTATTTTTATATTTTTTAGGTGGGGGCCGTACTATTTGAGGGGCCGTACTAATTGAGGGGGCCGTACTATTTTTCAACCCTCACCTAAAGGGCCGTACTAATAGAGGGGGCCGTACTAATTGAGGGGGCCGTACTATTTTTCAACCCTCACCTAAAGGGCCGTACTAATAGAGGGGGCCGTACTAATTGAGGGGGCCGTACTATTTGAGGAAATACGGTACTTTAATAGCATTGTCTACTAATATTTTTTCGTCCAATTCCTTCTTAGAAAAGAGGAATTTGACTTCTTGGCCATCTAAAAAAATTAAAAATATTCGACTTTTAGTAAATGTTTTTCTACCAATTAAAGTCTCACCGTAAAAACTTTACAATTTTTATTATTTTTTAGTGGGTTTCTTGTTTTACAAATTTTTGCCTCTCAAAAAATTTAAATTTCTCATTTTCTGATATTCCAAATTTTATCTAAACTTTCTGAAATTATTCAACAATTATTTTTAATTTAAAATTTTGTAAATTAATTTAATAATTATTATTTTAAAGCAATTTTGAAATTTATAATTGATTAATTCATATGATTTACATACATCTCGTTTAAAATTAGTAATTAATAAGCCAATCATAGGATGTTTATTAAATTTTAAAGGGCTGTTAATTAGAGAGTAAGAGGCCTATCAAACTTTTTAATATTTCTAAAATGTTTCTAAATGTAGAAGCGTATCTGTATTGGTTAAAAACTAAAAAGCTTCTAAGAAGTTTCCTTTAGTTTATAAACCTAGTATTAACTAAATAATTTAAAAAATATATTTTATGGATTTAATTTTGTTATTTGAAAGAGATAAAACCAAAAATTAACAAAAAATTATTTTTACTTTAATAGCTTGTTTGAAGGCCTAGCTAACATTAAGGCTAATGAAATTCCTAAAGCTAATAATCCAATTGGAAGGACAGGAAGTCTTTGTCCTTGTTTTGTCCTTGTTTAGTCTTTGTTTCTAAAATAATTTGTAGGTTTTGTTATATCGGGGTTTAGTTGGTCAAGTTCGATCAAGTTCGAATCTTTTTAAATAAAAAAGAAAGAAATATTTATATTTTCTCCAAGTTTTCCTTTGTTTGATCGGAAATCGTGTAGTTATAAGCTACCAATTGAATTTTTTCTCCTAATGCCTTCCAAAATTATTAAAATTTTCGCCTTCGGCGGTAAAAAAGGAAATTCTGTATCCTGGCTTTCCAAACATTAAAAAAATCGAAATTTCGAAACACTCTGATCAATCATAGGATGTTTATCAGCCCTTTAAAATTCAATAAAGCAATTGAATATTGCCAAATGAGAGTGAATCTCCCCAATCCCCCCCCCCCCCCCCCAAGACTTCATTATTATTTATTTTTTTAGAGTAATTATTGCAGTAATTATAATAATTAATAAAAATAAATAATTATTTAAATTTTTGACTAAACTTAAATCTCAAAGCGTTTTTCTGGAATCATTTTTTATTAAAATTAAATTGCTTTTTTTCCATTTATAAGAATTATATGGAAATTTGTATTAGTCAAAAATGTTATCAATTTAGCTATAAATATTCACTTTTAAAATGATTTATTTAAATGCTTTAACTTTTCTTTTGTTATTTTCAAAATGTTTTGGAGCTGACAATAATGATGACAATTTTTATATTAGAAATATTCGATATCAACCAATACATAGTCCAAGTCATGCTCCAGAATGGATGTATCCTCCGGTTTGTCATTTAAAATCATAGGTCACAAGTTAATGTTAATTGACTTAACTTTTATTTTCGGTTACCAGAGAATTCTAAATTTTAGTTTTTTTAATGATTATCGGTTTATGGGTTTTAAATTAAATGAAACGTTTAATTTTATCGTAACTTTATTTATTTAAAATTTTATAAAAATATTTTTAAAAAATCAATTATAGGAAAACGATTATCATAACTATGGATATGGTAAATATTTAAGCAATTAATGAATAATAAAATAAAACTTAACTAACATGTTTAGATAATCTGTGGGAACATAATCAACAAATCCCCCATCAACTTCCCCCTCAACAAATCCCCCATCAACACCCTCCTCAACAAATCCCGCAGCAAATGCTGCATAACGAAGATTACCAAACTCAAACGCTTCATCAACAACCAATATATCATCAACCCGCACCCCATCCTTATACACAATTTCCAACAATTCCAAGTCAAGGCGAATCTTCCTCAATGCCTAATTTACAAAACAATCCAAATGAAATAGAAAACGAGAATCAAAAATACTTATTGGTAACACACGAAATGATTAATCAAAGAGAGCAAGGTCAGTTTTTTCTATGGTTGAGCGGTATCATGATTCCAAACTGTATAACTTTTTTTGAATCCCGATACCTTTTTCTGATAACGAGGCCGGTATCGGTGGATAAAATAGTCGGTGGATAAAACGGCGCGCGGCCATAATTTGATCAGGGGTGAGCGCATTGCGTTATTTGCGTTAAATTTTGGCCTTGCGTTGCGTTTTTTTCGATGAAATTAACGCAAAAAATATATCAAATCTGCGCTCATCCCTGTCCCAAATCTTGCCAAATTTAGTAGTAAACGATTCCATTCATCGAGCTAAAGAGGTTGATAACAAAATTGATAAGATCCAGAAATTTTGCAGCTAGTTATGGCTATGTGCCGTTATGGCCGCGCGCCGTTTTGGGCTGTACCCCATAAAAATCACCTCTTTAGAGAAGAAAAAATATTATCCTATAAAATACAAAAAACCGGAATTATTAAATATGAATCAATTAATTAACAACATTCAATTTGCTTCTGGAGTTCAATTAAATTTTAGTGAAATTGATCCGGGATTTTCATTAAATTCTGAAGGGAT